TGGCAATCCACTCACCTCAGCCTCCCAAAGGCGTGGGATTACAGGCTGAGCCACCGAGCCTGGCTGGAAAAGGAATTTCAATTCAGGCCACGGTCTGGGGGAATCTGGAGAGACTTAGGTTGAGTCAAATGCCCGGAATCCCAGGGCACAACCCCTTGTGTTCCAGGGAAAAGACGGCAGAAAAGTTAGGGTAAGGCCGCGCTCCGAGGTGGAGGGGTAAGCCTGGGGAGTTGGTATAAGCTCAGGACAGATGACCTGGGACAGAGAGGCTCCCCGAGGCAGGGGAATGGACACAGTAATGCAGTCCTAAATGCTGATCACTTCACCCAAGGCTGGGCGGATCCGGTGTCTCTGCGGGTGGAGGAAATATGGGAGAGTAGAGGTAGTGATAGGATCTGAGCCAGAAGCAGCGGTGGGGTGGGACCTTGCCTGCAGAAATTCCTGGTCATTTCGGTTAGCCAGCAGGTTTTGGAGCCAGACGCTGTCCCCTTCCAGCTTCAGCAGCCGGTTGTGGCTCTGCTGGATGGAGCTACCCAGCTTCCCCAGGGCGGCTGCTTCCTCTTTCTCCACAAAGTCCAAGACCTTCATCTGCAGCTGTTGGACCTCCTGGATGATCTCCGAGAAGCAGGTGTTCACCTCATCTCGTGTTGTCTGGATCAAATTCTATGGGGAGGAGAGGGTAGGAAGGCATCGGCTACCCTCGTTGTCACAGCCCAAAACCAGTCCAAGCACGCTTCTGTCCGTCTGGCCCCACGCCATCCACTGCAGGTCCTGGGAGGTCCTCTCGGCCTGATACAGGGCGCGGGGGAAGCCTGGTCTGGGGCTGGAGGGGGCCACCCTTACCGAGAGAAAGGCCACCTGCCCCTGGTGCTTCTGGTTGTCAGAGGCGATGATCAGCATCTGGTTCTCCACGTTGGCCTGGACTTTCCGAACCTCGACCTGGGGTGAGCAGGTGGGATGGAAGCAGAGAGATGGCCTCAGAGAAGCCCTTCGGCCAGCAGCCCCATGTCCAAGCCCAGAAGACATTCACCTTCACAGCCTGAATGAGAACGAGGGAGAAAGACCAGAGCTGAAGGGTGATGGTCCACAGCCCGCTCTCTGCTCTCCCAATGCCCTAGAGCATGTCTGTCATTCAAAGGAGTCAGGTTCTTTGCTCCTAACAGTGATGACCACAGGATTTCAGGCCATAGAAAGGGATGGTGGAGGGTTCGGGGCTTGACAGGCTTGGGAGACCATAAGGCCAGGAGGGCCACAGCAGGTTTGCAGCCATGTGGGCTCGGCCGGGTAGTGCTGGTAGGCTTAAGTCCCACACACACCTTTAGTCTCCACCTATCCCATTTTCATTGTTCTATTATTCAACAGCTGCTTCAAGTGCCTCTTCATGAACTGTTGAGGGTCCCTAACAAAATAAAAAGCTCACGCCAGACTGCAAATCAGTGTAGTCCTGCCTTTGTTGAAAAACTCTTACAGCGAAAAAGTGTGAGCCGAACAAAACAGCGTGCCTAGTAATAAAACTGGTTTATATTCAGACACAAGCTCCTTGTTATGCTTGACAGGCAGCTATTAGAGTAGCAGTTACAGAATATACAAGATAGGATGCCTAAAACATGAGGATTTGAGCAACCCTGGGAGCTTTTCTATCCTCTCAATAAATCCTGCTTTAAAAATAAAAATTAAAAAAATAATAATTCCATTGTTTGAGCCCGCGGGTTTGAGACCTGCCTGGGCAACTTGGTGAGACCTCATCCCTACGATAAAATCAAAAATTAGCTGGGCGTGGTAGCGCACGCCTGTAGTTCCAGCTACTTGGAAGGCTGAGGCAGAAGGATCGCAGGAGCCCAGCAGGTCGAGGCTGCGGTGGTCGGGAGTGGCCACTGCACTCCAGTCTGGGCGACGGAGTGAGACTCCAACTCAAAAACAAAAAAAGAATTCCAATGTAAAAAGCAAAACAAGGCCGGGCTCGGTGGCTCGGTCTGTCATCCAGCACTTTGGGAGGCTGAGGTGAGTGGATTGCAGACCAGCCCGGGCAACTTGTCGAGACCTCTTCTCTACAGTTAAAAAAAAAAAGAGAAGTAGCCAGGTGAGGTAGCCCGCATCTGTAGTTCTGGTTACTTGGAAGGCTGAGGCGGAAGGATGGCCGGAGTCCAGCAGGTGGATGCTGGGGTGGCCGTGAGCATGCCACTGCACTCCAGCCTGGGCGACGGGAGTGAGACTCCGACTCCAAACAAACAAACAAACAAACAAACAAACAAACAAACATGAAATAAAATATAAGGATGCCGCTGCAAAAAGCAACACAAATACATTAAGCCAAATTTGAAAACGGGGAAAAGGGGGACGTTCACCCAGGACGTGCTGTGCGGGCATTTTGAGCCGTCGGCCAAGGCTTCCCACACGCAAGCCGGGATCCTCCCTTAGCTCGCCAGCGGGCTCCCACGTCACGGCGCCACCCCGGCGACCCTCGCTGTGCTCCCCGCGAAGGTGAAGGACGCGGAGACCCGGCGGGCCCCGCCCCCTTCCGCCTCACCTCCCGGCGGGCGCGCTCGTCCCCCAGCGGGGCGGCGTCGTGGCTCTCGTGCGCCTCCGACAGGCAGGCCGCGCACTCGCAGCAGCCCTCCGTGCGACCGTCCCGCCGCCCCAGCTGGCCGTGCTTCGGGCACAGGCGGGTCTGGCGGGGCCCCACGGGCTCCAGCAGCGGGTGGTCCCGGAACAGCCGGTCCTCGAAGTGGCTGCGCAGGTGCTTCTCGCACAGGGAGGCCGCGCACTGCAGGCACCACTTGACGGACTTGAGCTTCTCGGGGGCGCAGAAGTCACAGGGCACGTCCTGGGGCCCGGCCAGGTTCCACGCGGGCCCCGAAGCCTGGCATTTGGTCTGGGCGAAACAGGCCACCATCTCCCCCAGGATGGCATTCGTGCAGAGGCGCGGCCTGGAGGGGACGTTCTCTCGGCACTCGGGGCAATAGAGCGTCTCACCCTTGGCTGCCTGGTGGTCCCAGAATCCTTGCAGGCAGGTCATGCAGAAGTTGTGGCCGCAGGCGGTGGTGACCGGGTGGCGGAACACCTCCAGACAAAGGGGACAGAGGACTTGGTCCTCAAGCACGCGGAGATTGCTGTGGTTACTCATCAGCGGCTGGCCTTGGGGAGGTCTCCAGGGTTGGGCGGGGGGTTGCGGGTCTGGGACGTCTTGGTCCTGGACTGGCCCTGGGAAGGCAGAGCAAAGCCAGGACAGGAGTTGGGATGCCTGCGGGGGAGTGCCTCAGTTCTTCTCTTTCTGTTTTTGTTTTCAGTTGGAGTCTCACCCTGTCACCCAGGCTGGAGTGCCGTGGCACACTCATGGCCACCCCAGCGTTGACCTGCTGGGCTCTGGCGATCCTTCCGCCTCAGCCTTCCAAGTGGCCGGAACTACAGGTGCGCGCTGCCACACCCGGCTAATTTTTGATTTATTGTAGAGACATGTCTCGCCAAGTTGCCGCGGCTGGTCACGAACTCCCCCGGGCTCAGGCAGTCCACTCACTTGGGCCTCCCAAAGCGCTGGGATTACAGGCTGGGCCACCGAGCCCGGCCTAGTTCTGCTCTTAGTCGAAGCTGTCTGCCCATGGGGTGCAGGAACTGTACAGCAACTGTGTCATTGGCCAAACCGTATGGGGGACAAAAATTGGGGATTGCCCTGGAACAAACCCTGGCTGATAAGCAGAAAGAAGTTGCATCATGTCAAGGGAAAGGAGCTACTTCCTTGGCGCTTTGGAGGAAGGGTCAGGAGCACAAGGACTTACGTGAAACTCTCTGCATGCCAGGGAGAGCCAGGTACTTTGCTGTTCTGTGACAAGAGAAAAAAGAACCTTGGGCACTCGTGGCACAGGGACCTTGACCCAATCCCACTCTCCAGATGCTGGGAGGGTCCCCATCAGTCCACTGTGCCCCACCCCAAGTGCCTTACATCCCTTGGGGGCGTCTGATGATCACCTCCTCACCTTTGCCTTTGGCTGCTGTTTTGCAATCTCCCTGTCAAGGTGGCTTCCCTTCTTGAAGACGGCCCACAGTTTTGCTCCCTGACATCACAATTCAAGCGAGACCAGCCCCAGCATTCTGCTTGTGATGTCAACAGGACACAAGGGTGCCACTGGACATACTGTGTTGCTGATTCAATTGGCCTCTCCACGAATGGATTCCTTACCCCAGAGTCTTCATCCCAGGAAGCATAGTAGCTGCTCGTACCTGGGACCTTGCAGCGGATTATGAATCTCTCATAAGAGGGAAGGTGGCAGCTCAGGGACAGCAGGATCTAGGGCCACGTATTTAATCTCTCTGAACCATGGGTTGTCTCTTGCAAATCGTCAGGGTTCTTGCAGGAGCTGATCTTTCTTTTATTTATTTATTTATTTTGAGTCGGAGTCTCACTCTGTCACCCAGGCTGGACTGCAGTGGCACGCTGCTCACAGCCACCGCAGCCTCTACCTGCTGGGCTCAGGTGATCCTTCTGCCTCCGCCTTTCAAGTAGCTGGAACTACAGGCGCATGCCACCAAGCCCCGCTCATTTTTTGTTTTGTTTTGTTTTTTGTTTTTTGTTTTTGAGTTGGAGTCTCACTCTGTCGCCCAGACTGGAGTGCAGTGGCTGCTCCCAACCACCACAGCCTCAACCTGCTGGGCTCCGGCGATCCTTCCGCCTCAGCCTTCCAAGTAGCTGGAACTATAGGCGTGTGCTACCACGCCCAGCTAATTTTTGATTTATTGTAGAGATGAGGTCTCACCAAGTTGCCCAGGCGGGTCTTGAACCTGTGGGCTCGGGCAATCCACTCACCTCAGCCTCCCAAGGCGTGGGATTACAGGCTGAGCCACAGAGCCCGGCTCCGGCTAATTTTTTGATTGATTGTAGAGAGGAGGTCTCACCAAATTGCACAAGCTGGTCTCAAACCCATGGACTCAAGCAATCCTCTCGCCTCGGCCTCTCAAAGTGCTGGGAGTACAGGCCTGAACCACTGCGCCTGGCGAGGAGCTGATATTTCAGGTCCCCTTCTTTTTTTTTTTTTTTTGATTTGGAGTCTCACTCCGTCGCCCAGACTGGAGTGCAGTGGCCGCTCCCAGCCACCGCAGCCTCCACCTGCTGGGCTCCGGCAATCCTTCCGCCTCAGCCTTCTGAGTAGCTGGAATTACAGCCATGCGCTACCACGCCCGGCTGATTTTTTGATTGATTGTAGAGATGAGGTCTCGCTGCCCAGGCGGGTCTCGAACCCACGGGCTCAGGCAATTCACTCACCTCAGCCTCCCAAAGGCGTGGGATTGCAGGCTGAGCCACCGAGCCCAGCCCTTCTTGATCTAAAGTTGGATGATGCAAAAACCCATTGATCCTAAGGACTGCTGCTTTGTGTTCATTTTGGCAGCACAGGGACTAGAGACTGTTGCTTCCACTCTGGTTCTGATTCTTGGCAGGAAAAAAGGGACCAAAGAAGTTGAAGAGGGATCTCCATCACCTTGGGTACAGTGGCGTCTTGGCAGTCTTTCTGTTTTCCATCCTTCCTCATACAACAGAAGAAACGCTCTAAATGTTTGCAGCATATCGCTCCCTTGCTCCAAAAACTTAACTTGGCCTTCCTTGTTGAGTAAAAATGCTGAATAGAAGGCATCCTTTTCTTATCTCCCCATTTCAGAGGAAACATTTTCAACGTGTCTTCATTCGTTATGATGTTTGCTGTAGGTTTGTTGTAGATACTTTGCATAAGACTGAGATTTCCATTTATTCCTAGTTTGCTAAGAGTTTTTTGTTTTTTGGGTTTTTTTTTTTTTTCTTTTGCTTTTTTTTTTTTTTTTGAGTTGGAGTCTCACTCTGTCGCCCAGACTGGAGTGTACTGGTATACTCAGGGCCACTGCGGCCTCAGCCTGCTGGGCTCAGGCGATCCTTCTGCCTCAACCTTCCAAGTAGCTGGAACACAGGCATGCACCACCACGCCCAGCTAATTTTTTTGATTTATTGTAGAGTTGAGGTCTTGCCATGCTGCCCAGGCTGGTTTTGAACCCATGGGCTCAGGCAATTCTCTCACCTTGGCTTCCAAAGTGCCGGGATTATAGGCATGAGCCACCGCACTCACCCTAAACGTGTATTTTCATCCACAAATACATATGTCCCTACTTTTATTTTATTTTATTATTTATTTATTTATTTTGAGTCAGAGTCTCACGCACTCTGTCACCCAGGCTGGAGTGCAGTGTCATGTTCACAGCCACTGCAGCCTCAACCTGCTGGGCTCAGGTGATCCCTCCATCTCAGCCTTACAAGTAGCCGGAACTACAGGTATGTGCTACCACGCCCTGCTAATTTTTGATTTATTGTAGAGATGAGGTCTCGCCAAGTTGCCCGGGCTGGTCTTGAACCCACAGGTTCAGGCAATCCACTCGCCTCAGCCTCCCAAAGTTCAGCCAATCTTTAAATGCCTCCAATTGTCACATTGCCTTTTCTTTTCTTTTCTTTTTTTTTTTTTGAGTTGGAGTCTCACTCTGTCACCCAGACTGGAGTGCAGTGGCTGC